TCATTACCTCAGACCCATTTGTCTTTACACAGGCCAAATGGGCAAGCTAAATGAGGATCTGTGGAAAAATCAGCACTCTAGAATCCTCCATGCTTTATGGTTCACACAGGGACACAGGGACACTTTTGATTTACAGTTTATGGAGGCACACTATTCCCCAAGGCTTCTTTTTCTACAAAATAGCTCTGGCTTTTTGTTTTGAGAAATTACTTGGAGATTCAGTAATAATGACTGGACATATCCCAATGGTATATTTGGAGGTATACTCTGAACATAAGATCCAGCAGGCCTACTGTGAGAAAGACAGACTAAGGCTCCAGCTGACCATACACTGTCTCCAGCTGATGAATCGCTGTGGCCTTTGAGGCTCTTAGGAATTAAAGAACCAGTCTAGAGTCAGTATAAGGTCTGTATATTCCCCTAGGTGGCTGCAGAAGGAGGCTCCTCTTCCATAGCATATTGTATAGTCTAAATGTTTTTCCTCAATGAAGCCACGCTGTCTTTTCCTCTCCACACAGGGTTCAGTTCTGAACCTGCACAATGCATCAACTGTGAGCATTTCAAACCTGAGACTTTGAACTGTGGTTGTCTCAAGTTAAATCTGTTAACTTAAGGGGCTTGCCTGGTCTCTTTAGCATAACAAATTAATCATTCCAGAACTATGCTGGAACTGCTGCTCATGCTGACAACCACATCCACATTTCCTCCTGAGGTGAACCCTTGCTCTCCAGCTTCTGCCACTTTGGTAAGTCACCAGCACCACTGAAATCAAAAGATTAGTTTCTCTGAAGGCATCTCCCACCGCCTCTCCATCAGGTGACAATTACAATGGTTACATTGGTGTGTTCTCAGGGCTTCTATGGAGGTAGACTCCTACCTAGCCTTAGTAAGACATTAAGTAGTCAGTTCCCAGATCTCTGTATTTCTCGGTCTTAAAAACCCCTTTCTGTTGGTATCTCAAGCTCATTTTATAGTTCAGACCAAATCGCAATCATGCCTGATTCCTTGAACTAATATGCTGGATTTAGACTCTCTGGTTTGTTTGCCAAAGTCAAGGAAACTTGCCATGTGATAGGCCTTCCTTCTTGGTTTGTTACAATTCATTTCCCGTGTAAAACACCCAGGTATCTGTAACTCTAACACCACACACTTTCTGGGACAATACTGGAGGTGCTGTGTCTGAGCAGGAAACGTGGGCAGCTCTTAGCACCAGCACTGAGCCCCGTCACCTGCAGCAGCTGGCTGTATGTCTCCTTGAGTAATACCGAGACGAAGAATGGCTTCTGTGATTTTTGCTCGCTCACATACGAGGCTATTGTGCTTGCGAAATGACATAAACAATGGCTTTTGAAAATGATTCAAAGATGCTTGAAAAGAAAAATCCATTCACCATGGGATGCAGGGTTGAAGTATTTGGCTTTGGGTAATGCATTATCCCAATTCTGTTTTTCTTTTGTTCTTGCTTATTTCCCTGTCAGGGGCTGAAATAGCTGCATTGAAGTTTCTCACAGGGGTGGCTTCTGCTGATTTCCCTATGCAACAACTACTTCCTTTCTTTTTATTTCCATTACATGTCTGTGGCCATGTTATTAGAGCACCATGCTATATTGTACACCTATCAATGTACAATGGCTCCCTTTGCCACAGTTTCTTGCTTTGATTTTTTTTTGTTTTGTTTCATATAATTCTTCCTATATCTTTTTGTTTTGCTTATAGCTTATGATTCTTCCCATTTTTTTCTTCATTTCAATGCAGCTATATGGAAGAAGTTTAGAGCTGAACTTGATTTTTAAATACTGTGTGACAGTATTGGCCTCTAAAGAAGGAAGCATTGTCTGTTTCTATTTATTATCCTGATTTATTTAAATAGATGCTTCTATTTTACTTAATTTGAAGACGTAAATTATATGATATACTAAAATTATTCAAAAGAGAAATGAAAAATCTGTTATAGCAAACACATTACATTGTAATTTTAAGTGAGGGCAATTTCAATGCCTAAACAAAATTGCAGGAAACAGAAAACAAGAAATAGAGAATAAAAGATCAGTGCTTCTCCGCTCAAGCATCAGCACTGCTCAGATGGAGGGATACCCTCTGCCTTTCTCTGCACGGTTTGTCTGGCAGCGCTGAGCTCAGACACCCACAGTGTTTTACCCCATTTCATCGTTATTCCTAACATGGTGAACCTAAGGTCAAATATTAAATTCAGTTCCAAATGGAAGAAAACTTCAGCCCTTCCTCCACTCTTTTGTCTCAGTGCCCAGCCAGTGTCTTGTACTCATACAAAGAAGCCCGTGGAAAATAACTAAGCAAGTTATTGAATTATCCCTACTGAAGTAACAGTGATAATATAGAAAAATTAAAATGATTTTGCATTCAAGAGGACATTTTTTTTATTTATTAAGAAATTTTTTATTCATTCTTCATACCAACTACGGATTCCTCCCTCATTCCTCTGCCCGCTCCCTCCACCCTAACCCATCCCCATCCCCTCCTCCGAAAAGGTAAGGCCTCCCATGGGGAGTCAGCAGAGCTGGACACATTCAGCCGGGGCAGGTCCAAGCCCCTCCCCCCTGCACCAAGGCTGTGCAAGGTGTCCCACCACAGGCAATGGGCAGCAAAAAGCCAGTGCATGCACCGGGGATGGATCCTGATCCCATTGTCGGGGCCCCTCAAACAGACCAAGCTACACAACTATCTTGCCCATGCAGAGGGCCCAGTCCAGAGGCTCCACAGCTGTCAGTCCAAAGTTCATGAGTTCCCACTAGCTTGGTTCAGTTATACCTGTAGGCTTCCCCATTATGATCTTGATGCCCCTTGCTCATAGAATCCCTCTTCCCTCTCTTCGACTGGATTTTCGGAGCTCGGCCTGGTGCTTGGCCTTGGCTCATAAGAGGACATCTTTATTTAAGCAATGAATTAATTCCTCCAGAATCATATTTTTGAACGATACTGAAATGAAGCAACATGCCAAGTAAAGTTGTATGTTGTTTCTGTAAGACCGAAGATATCCTTAATATTGGCTTCCCCCCCCCAAGTTGATTATCTGTTATCAATCAAAAATAACAGAAAATGTGAAATATATGCTTTAAGTTCAACTTAGGTCAAGTTCACCATGCTTGTCAAATTTATCATGCATCTCTAATATACAAGAGAATCATGCTAGTCAGCTATTGACCACAGAATAAATTAAGAACTGACAACATGGCAATTAATATCTATATTTGTTAAAGTTAAAATATCTAAATAAGCCGGGCGGTGGTGGCGCACGCCTTTAATCCCAGCACTCGGGAGGCAGAGCCAGGCGGATCTCTGTGAGTTCGAGGCCAGCCTGGGCTACCAAGTGAGTTCCAGGAAAGGCGCAAAGCTACACAGAGAAACCCTGTCTCGAAAAAAACCAAAAAAAAAAAAAAAAAAAAAAAAAAATATCTAAATAAACATATGATAGTTTTGAGGTGGATGATGTTGTCCCCAGACATCCTCTCCAAACTTGATGCATGGAGAAAAGAGAATTTGGGCAAACAGGTGATACAATTTGTGACCAAAGTTTCTGAAAATTAAGAAGAAAAGTCCTACGGAGAATTAGCACAAGGAGGCAGTCCTCAAACATTAACATAAACCACTTCTGAAACTTATTGCATCCCAGAGCTGTGCTCATATTACTGATATTTAAAGAACCCTGCTTGCGGGAAAGAGAAAACAAAAGACTTTTTTTGCTGGCAGGAATTTCAGCTTTGACCTGATAGTCATTGTGGGAGACAGAGAGTTTGGATTCAAGATTTTCCAAATCACAGTGTTTGTAAGGACACCAGAATTCGTTAAATGAATAGATACATAGATAGGTACATAGATAGATAGATAGATAGATAGATAGATAGATAGATAGATAGATAGATAGATGGATGGATAGATAGATAGATAAATCTGTTTCTTAGAAGGCAGATTAGATCCAGCACACGAGCTGTTCACCTTGGACAAAAGCAGCTTAAAGCAGATAATCCTGACAACGAATTATCATTTTACATACTTTGACTCTAAGGCTCCCTGCTGATGTCAAAAGACATGTCAGAAGCAATCACACAGGCAAGTCCATTGTAGGTGTTTTCACAACCAACCCAAACTGAAAACTGTGGTGGGGTGTTCATCAGAGCAGACTGCTCAAACAAAGGCTTACGCCCATAGAAAGTCTTTATTAGTCACCAGCCAACTACACTGGGTGTTTGGATCCCTGTGTAGCACCAAGCCTTTCTCAGGGTGGACTTTAAACACAAAAACCATACTCTGGGTTCACATACTTCAGTTAACAAGAACAGTTAGCCAGAACAGGAACTACAGAAGCCAAAAAGTAAGGTTTGTACATTTAGAGACTTTTCCATAACTATGGACTTCGATGGATTAGGTCTTAGTTTTAGTTTTGGCAGGTGATGCTGTCTATGTGCTGCGTTTTACAGCCTGAATGGCACTTCCATCATGGAGTCAGTTGTGTTAAGGTCTAGGGGCCTACTTAGGTTTGAGGCACCATTACAGAAATAATCAAAATCTCCAACAATCAAACTATTGGCCAATGAAAACGTTTGGTATATCCATACAAATGATTTCAACAACAGTAAAGGCATATGCAGCATCACTGATTCTCAAGAGCAGTGATGGGAATGGGAGAGTCAGCCTGAAAGAGCACATAGGGCCTGATTGTGTTTATATGAAGTTCCAGGCAGGCAAAGTGAAGAAGGAGGAGGAGGAGGGGGGGGGGTTCTAACAAGTCTTATGACCTTAGTTCTGTTTCCAAAACCCACAGTGGAAAGAGAGAACCAACTCCTGAAAGTTGTCCTTTGACCTCCACACAGGCACACAGCAGCCCTTCTACATACAGGCCTGCATTAGTGCTAAATAAAATTAAAGTTAAAATACATAAAAAAATACATAACAGTTTTGATTATATATAGTAACAGCACCTATTGGACATAGACCTTTACATTTAAAACAGATACTCTAAATATATTTAAATTATACTTCAACTAACTATTGTATGCAAAGAACATTTAGTTATTATTAACAGCCAGGCATTCATCACTAATATGGACTCTGTGTGACGGTGTTCAGTCTCATTTATGTAGCACACCAACCCCTGGAAATACTTTCAGTCATGCTGGAAGGTATTTCCTTCTATCTACCTTGCAGAGACAGCACACAGAAATCACACTTACAGAGGGCTTAACTCAGCCAACAGCAGCTGTCTTGCCACACAATTGGACAACAGCCCCAAGGACTGCATGAGCAGTGTCGGGCATCATGAAGGGGTGTGTACCTCTGCCAGCCTGGGCACATGATGGCTATGCGATCATAGCACCACCTGGGAGAAGGAAAGCTTTTTATGATCCCCCTTCTTTACCATTTATGGAATCTGTCATCTTTCCCCTAAGGAAAGTTGGAAGCTATGTGCTTTTCTGTCTCTTACTCTATTTTTGAGTTTTATGCAGGAGCACAGGACAACAACTCAGAGAGATTCAAAACTATGGCTCTCATTTGCTCTCACTGGAGACTTGAAAGGCAGGATTTCAGGCATGCACTGTGCAATTTGCTAGGCTAAGGCTGTGTGCTGCTAAAGGGTTTAGCTCTATCTTTTAGTAGTCACTGTGTGGTCCTAGTAGCAAAAATAGTTATGCAGTCTTTCATTTATCTGTAGCGTGAAAGTTATGAAGAGGGTTATGAAGAGGTATGGAAAACAGCTGTTTGCTGCTTTCCACTGTTAACAATCAGATCCTCTGACATTCATGTTTCAAAAGACATGATAAGTTACCCAAAGACAGGGCTTTCAGGAGCGATCACCCACATGTAAGGGATTTTCAGGTGAGTTATTGTTTTGTTGTTTCCTTGAGATTCAGTAGTTCTTCCCAAGAGCAGCACCAGGATGAGATACACAGCGCCTGGTGTATTTTACTGAAGAAAATGAAGAGAGGATTTAGTGATCCTTAAGGGTCTAGGATAATCCCCTGATCCTAGTAAATTTATTTAAATTGAATATAACCCGGGCCATCTATTCTTTTTCAAATAGATTGTTTTCCGTTTGCCCCCACAGAAATAAGAGTTTATATCTTACCAGAGAAGTCCCAGTGAGCTGTGTTCACTGACTTCATTTTGTACTCCAGAGTGAAGGCAGCCCAGCAGTCCATCAGCTGAAATTCCAGATCAGCATCAGAACACCTCAGCGACAAAGTTTCCCCTTTGCCAAGGGGACAGCATCTGGTAATTCTTGTGTTTCACACCCAACACCTGGTAATAATGCGTCCGCCGGGACCCATGCCGACACCCATTGCCATTTTCCTTCTGTTTACAGCTAACTTTATGATCCTCACCTTCCAGATGGAGTATGACCCCTAAAGTTTTTGCTCTTCAAACTTTAATATTTCATCAAAGCTTTGATTTTAGTCACATGGGTGTCCTCACCGCCAAATAATGCTGACGGCATCATTTTGTTTGCTTGTTTACCCCATTAAGTATTTACAGAGAAGGCTGTTCGGTGACTGTTGTTGGCTTATGGTGAGAACTGAAAGAGGCAATGTGGAGAAAACACTTAGCGCAGAGGTGAGCATGCTGTAAAGAGCAATGCACAGAGCGGCTGTGTGTGACGATGTTGCCCAGGGGAGGATCTTTGCTTTTTGAACTGTACATATAATAATGAGAACCAGTCTATGTCACCACTGTCTAGATACATTTGGCACAATTCCATGGGAATAATTTGAACTGTGAACACATTTGGTGGCTTTTCCTTTCTCAGAGAGGTGGCTCAGCAGTTACGTGCACTTGCTGCTTTTGTAGAGGACCTGCGTTTGATTCCCAGCACCCACGGCAGTAGCTCACAACCACCCCTAACTCCAGCTCCAGATCAAATGGCCTCTTCTAGCGTCTGAGGGCACCTGCATTCACAGGCACATATGTGCAGGTGAGCATTCATACACTTAAAATGAAATTTTTTTTTTACAGCTCTAAAGTTTTATGTAATTTTTAAAGGAAATCTTCTACCTAGTCTCAACTTGGTTAGTATTTTCTTTTCTTTATAAAAAAGGTACAGAATTGCTAAAACTTATAGGAGAAATCTTTTAATAGAATGTATACAGTCCTGTTTTGAATCCCACATTACATCGGACCCTAGTTCAGTTCCCAGTACCTACATGACTGCCCGCAACTTCCTTTACTTGAGTTCAAAAGGGCCAATGACCTCTTCTGGCCTGTGAGGGATTGCACATGCATGTGGTTCACAAATATTCAGGCAACACACTCATACACATAAATATAAAATAAATTCTTTAAACAAAAGCATGGAAGCAAATGTATCCTGTGCAATTAGGCAAATTCGATACAGCCATTTTATTTAAAAAATATACCTTGAGGTTTCATGCATTAGTCCATTAAATGACTTATTTATAAAGGTCAATGTGCATACAAGTGTGAATAATAACATTCTCACACCTAGGGTCTAACAGTCCAGCTGGGAGAGAGACAGACAAAGGAAGACTCAAAGCAATGCAGAAATCACTAATGTGCTGGTCTACAGGGTGCCATGGAAGCAGAGAGAAGAGAACCCAACTTCAGATACTTCCAGGGGTACCTAGACAAGCTGCTCCTGGCACTGAATGTGGACACATCAGTATCATATTCTCTTGAGAGGTGAGAGGACTGGGGAAGGAGTTGCTGACCATCAGAAAGAAGCTAACCAGACAGGAAGGATGAGGGGAGACTCAACAGATGGCAAGACACTCACAAGCTGAAGGTACTGTGTGGAAAATCCAGATGCGGTGGGAGCCAAGATCAAGCCGGTGAATGTGAGGTCAGAGGAGGTCGTATTCCTACATGAGCTGAGGAGGTATATTTTTGGCCTAAAAGCAAGCTTGACAATGCTGTTAGTTCCCCAGAATGTTTCAGTACATTCTAATAAAGAAAATGCTTCTTGCATTTGTTTGGATTAAGTTTTTTTCCTGACAGGTCAGGCACATTGCTACCACCTACTCAGGAACAGATTGTGCCAATACCTAATAACGGTCCACCCACACGGACTTTTAAAATCAGTGTGATTATGAGACATTGTAGCTTGTTCATGTTAGTAATGAATTTGGTAGCCTCTGTTTTTATCAACTGATAAATGAGGAACTAATTGCAGATTGTCTAGAAATACCCCCAAATTTTAAATAGACTTTTAAAACAAAAATGCTTTGAAAATTCTGTTTTGTTTTGAGTCAGATTGGGGCTGTTTTTATAAAATATCAAGTGTTGTACACCTGAATTTTCTATTTGGTAGGTGCCACAAGCTGAAGAGATTTTTTTTTTCACATCCAGTCTAATCATAGTGCTAGATGTTGGTGGACTGACAAATTTAATAGGTTCTATGGTGAATGTTCAGTGGTACACTCTTCTTGGACCCAGCCTGGAAATTCAGCACCAGGTAGACTTTTATGACATATGTCAGTTAACATACACATAAAGAAATAACAAAGTGTTCCAGTTGGTTATATTCACTAATTCACAAGCAGAAGAAAGGGTCTTCCCCCACCCACAACTAATCTCTTATAAAACTGTAGGTATTAAAATTGTTCTAAATTCTAGCACAGGAATTCAGGCTCAAATGACATTCCACAGAGGTATAGACAAGGTGTCTCTATGAAAAGTAGCAGAAGCACAGAGATTGCCTGTGTGAGTGTGAGTGAGTGTGTGTGTGTGTGTGTGTGTGTGTGTGTGTGTGTGTGTGTGTACCCCAGCTAACTCTTCCATGCCCTCTATAAGCCATCAGCCTAAGATGTTTCTCATACAGTTTTAAAGAGTCTCGCAGATGGTTAAGACAGTGGAGTTGAGGATATTTTGATATTTATGCTAGGAGGATCTTGGAGAAAAGGCAAGCAAACTTCTTGGACTTAACAGGGCTTTAGATAAAAGGACATACTGTCCATAGAACACAAGACAGTCTCTTTAATGTGCACCTCGCTTCTGACTTTTCTCTGTAACTATGTATGCTGTAAGATCATTTTACTTGGCTGTAAATTTCTTTTCAAGAAAGACCAAGGCCATATAGCTCCACAGAAAACTGCAAAGCCAGCTGTGGTGGAACACATCTGTATTCCCAGCACTTAGGAGACAGGAGGGTCTTGTAACTTTGAAACTGTCCAGGGCTACTTGTATAGATCCTGTCTATTTCCAGACACAAAGCAAGGAGCTGGCTCCATTGGTAAAGTGTTGCTATGAAAGCATGAGACCTGGATTCAGACCTGAATACCAATACATCTAAGTTAGGATTTCTATTGCTGTAAAGAGATACCATGACCATAGCAATTCTTATAAAGGAAAACATTTCATTGAGGTGGCTGCTTACAGTTCAGAGGGTCAGTCCATTATCATCATGGAAGGGAGTATGGTGGTGTGCAGAGAGACGTGGTACTGGCTACATCTTGATCAGAAGGCTACAGGAAGCCAACTGTCACACTGGAAGTAGCTTGAACATAGGAGAACTCAAAGCCCACCCCAACAGTGGCACACTTCCTCTAGCAAGGCCATAAGTACTCCAACAAAGTCACACCTTCTAATAGTGCCACTCCCTTTGGGGGCCATTTTCTTTCAAACCGCCACATCATGTAAAAGCCTTATGTGGCAGTGTGTGACTGTAATGTAATGTAATGTAATGTAATGTAATGTAATGTAATGTAATGTAATGTAATGTAATCCTAACACTGAGTGAGGATCAGGAGGATTGGTAGGGCTCCCACACCAGCCAGTCTAGCCTACATAATAAGCTCCAGGTTCACTGAGAGACCATGTATCAAAAAAAAATAAAGTACAATTTCAGGCATGTTGGCATGCCTCTTTAATCCCAGCATTCACAAAGCAGAAGCAGGCAATTCTGTGATTATGAGGCATACCATACCATTGTGAGTTCCAGGACAGCCAGGGTAATAGAGTGAGGCCCTGTCTCAAAAGAAATAATAATAATAAAGTAGAGAAGCAGCTGAGAAAAGACATTCTAACCTCAACTTCTGGCCTCTATGCTTACCTGCATCAGTAAGTACACACATACACACACACACACACACACACACACACACACACACACACACACACACAAGAACACAATCAAATGCATGTGGAAAGCATCCATGAAATACACATCAGAAAATAATGAATTTCTCTAAAGCCTTACTGTCAGATTCTAACATAGTACTGTATGCATATCTTAGGATAGTCTGCTATAACAGAAGATCTTCGGAGGGATAATTTACAAACAATACAAAATTTCTGCTCCAGTTTCTGGAAGCTGGCAAGTCCAAGTTCAAAGCAGCATCATGTGGTACAGGCCTTCTTACTTACTTATGATCTTGTTTTTCCCTGTCTTGACCTGGCAGAAGGGTCAACCCAACTCCCTTGGGCTCTTCATGAGGCATTCAGTCTATTCAGGAGTGTCTTAGTTGGGGTTCTATTGCTGTGAAGAAACACTATAGTCATGGCAACTGTTATAAAGGAAAACATTTAATTGGGGCTGGCTTACAGTTTCAGAGTTTTAGTCCATTATCATCATCGTGGGACATGGCAGCATGCAGGCAGACATGGTGCTGGAGAAGGAGCTAAGAGTTCTACATCTGGATCCACAGGTAGCAGAAGGAATATTGAGACACAGTGGCCAGACTTGAGCATATAAGGCCTCAAAGCCCATCTCCACAGTGGCACACTTCCTTCAATAAAACCACGCCTACTCCGACAAGGCCACACTTCCTAATAGTGCCAGTTCCTATGGACCAAACATTCAAACACATAAGTCTGTGGGAGCCATTACTATTCAATCCACCACAATGAGGGTGGAGCTTCATGACCTAATCGTCTTCCAAAAACCCCACTGCCTAAAACCACCACCTTGAGCTTAGGATTCAATGTAGGGATTTTAGCAGGACACAAACATTTACCCACAGTGGTCCTAAAGGACTAAAGGTTTGTCAAATTTTCTGTTAAATTCCTACCACCTAGAATTAGCCCCAGCATACATTAGTATCCAAGATAATTCACTGTGCATATAAATAGCATGTAAAATTTATACAAGCTTTATGTCCCATTTGATTCTGTTGTTCACCCAACAGTGTGCAGATCCCACACAGAGGGCAAATGTGAATAAGACTCCAGCTACGTTTAGGAAAGAATCAGGAGTCACTTATACAAGTCAACACTGGCAGGTGTCTGCTCATTTTTGTTCTTTATAAAAACTTTGTTCTGCATTCATATGTGTGAAATGGTCTTGTTTTGTAGTCACAGAGACAACATTTCTGAGGCTAGGGTTTTGGAAATTATTTATGTGGGAGAACATGATAGAGCCAACCCAGCCAGCTTCATGTAACGCCAGGGCATAGGGGACAGTAGTGGACAATTTCCTTTCTCTCTAGAAACCACCAGAAATCTACCCTTGCTCTAAATGCTCAGTGATAGACAGTGTCCAACTCAAAGCAAAGCATGTCTCTCAGAATCCCCCAGAGTCACCCAAGGAGAATCCTAATCCTGTGTTTGGTTCTCTTCATTAGCTGTTCCAGGATGCAGCCTTTTACCTCTTGGTGTCTTTGGTGTTCTGATGTCTGGTGGTCTTTGGCCTTCTGCCTTTCTCAAAATGCACCTACTATGTAGTATTTCTGTTTTTCTTTGCATCCTTAAAGTTTAATTTCCACTGGTGAGCTAATGCGGTCACTTTGATTTTCATGCCAATTCAAAGCATGTTTTAAAGATAATTGACGAAAATTTTGAAATGAGAAACCCCTTTGAAAGAACAAACACCAGAATGTGAAGTGGTCCCCACAGAATACAAGGCAACAGAGTAGAACTATAAGACATTATCTGTCTCCTTGTTATTGTTCTATTTTCTAAATAAAAATAGACTTAAAGTATATAAAATGTTAACAAGATATTAATTTTTCAAAGTACTCAGCATTTAGTTTTTATTTTGAATAATTTTGTGACCGTGATTAGCAAGTGAGAGTTTTCATTTTTTTAGAGCATCACATGTAAGGCGGCTGAAATAAATGAGGATCTCTTTCTAATCTCCCTAGTCACTGTGGCTGACAAAGGGAGAGGCCGTGCAGATGAATGACTTTAGCACTAATGGCCGTGGACTGTTAAGTGGGCACTGCACCTTTTGATGGAGTAGGGGAAAAGAAAATACTGAGATTTATAACTCCTAATTGAAGTCCCTCAGGCTTTCTTCAGGTTTCTGCGGGCTTCTGTTTCAAATTGTGTTTGCAAGGGTTATGTTCCAAACCCATTCTTTCTTAGAGCCATTAAACATGGCAACTGGCATGATTTACAAGAGCCCGAGTTTGCTCTCAAATGTGGGACTAAGAAAAGCAAGGCAGTGGGAGAGAGAGGAGTGGAGCCGTGAACCTCAAGTGGATATTCATCAGCATCTACTTCAGTCTCTGATTAGTAGGGTGAACTTGCCAAACGTCTCGCTCTATTTTGTCTGTCAGTGGGAGCCCTCAAAACTACAAACTATGGACCCATGAGGAACAATATATAGTCGAAAAATAAGGCTAAAATGAACAATTGCAGGTAAATCTAGAAGTTTCATGTAGATTGTTGTGGGATATTTGAACACACTGTGAACCCTGAGGTTGAGTTTTTTAAATAAAATCAACCACAGGTCAAGAGGAGGAGCAAGCAACCACTTGACTTAAAGTAACCATAGAGAGTGAGGGGAAGTTGGGAGGGCAGAGAGAAAGGCACAGGAAGTAGATCCAGCTGGAGGAGTTTTTGTTTCAGATCGCGTAGGAAAGGGCCCTTTTTCTGAGATGACAGCAAAGGATGAAGGTCAGCTGGGTGTTTCTCAGCCTCTCTGAGCTAGCAGGTTTTTACCCCAGCATCTGGCTCATGTCTTTACTGGTAAAATGAGAGAGAGAGAGAGAGAGAGAGAGAGAGAGAGAGAGAGAGAGAGAGAGAGAGAGAGAGAGAGAGAGAGAGAGAGTTAAATGAGAGAGAGAGAGAGAGAGAGAGAGAGAGAGAGAGAGAGAGAGAGAGAAAGAGAGAGAGTTAAAAACATTTGCCCCCCTACATGAAGGTGGCTGAGGCAGCCACAAGATGCTGCGGTGGAGGGAGGA